TGGAACGTAAAATTCACGAAATGTGGAACCGAGATGAGATGACTGGGTTTTACAGGAAGGGTTTTCACAGATCGATTAATACAGGGCAAAGTACACTCGAAGGTCATCTGTGTAATGGGTCACATGCGTGCACAGTTAATCGAACCGGAGCAAAACCTGTGGCGTGATTAATTTTTCCAATCAAATCAATATAGACAGTGAGGACACATTGCACAGCATTTACTCCGAACCACGCTACTTACTGATCAACAGCACGGATTGACCAAGGGTAGATCATGCTTATCTAACTTACTGTATATTTTAGATGAGGTCTCCTCGAGGTGAGACACGGGAAAAGGAGTTGGGACTCTTCTCGCTAGAAAGGAGAAGACTAAGAGGAGACTGATTGGAGATCTCTAAGATTGTGAAGGGGCTCTCAGGAGTAAGGAAAAAGAGCATCTTCCAGGAGGCTATCCACCAGGGGACTAGAGGGAACGGGTACAAACTGCATAAGCAGTGGTGCAACCTGGTTGTTAGATCCAGCTTCTTCAGTAACACAGTAGTGAACATTTGGAATCGGTTGCCAAAGGAATTAGTAGAATTGGGAAGCGTAACTGCATTTAAGCTCGCCCTGGATGAGCGATGACTGGAGCTCTTTGCAGAATATGATCTTTAATGTACTATGGAACGCCTTCATGACCCATGTCCCTTTTCTGCCGATGAAGTGACAGGAGATTCGCTTTTTCCTTTACTTTTCAGCAAGGACGCAGTACTGAAGGTAATTCAGGTCAGGTCAGGTCAGGTTGCACAGGACGGTAGAGGCTTTCGCCTATCGAGCGTCCAGATTCTTGCTCCAGTCAGAAACACGTCTTCCGGAGCTTCGACTTCTTGTCAGCCGTTTGACCACAGCCGTTTCGAACTGTCTCCCTTGGCACGTCCGTACCTGCAAAGGGAGGTTATCTGAAAATGGGCAGGATAGACACCTACTGTCAATAGCAGGTATCCTAAAGATCTCTGGATACAGGCTCGTCCAGACTTCATCTAGCTGCCTTTTGAACGCGTCGACTGTCCTACAGTCTATTAGTGAAGAAAGTAACTGATTCCATCTATTACTCATTTATCACTCTACTCGTGAAGAAGTTATACCTAACGTTAAGTCGGCTCCTGGGCTTCATTAACTTCAAATGGTGCCCCCTGGTTGACTCGAACGGTGCTCGGATAAACAGGCTTTCGGCTTCTAGCCCAGCCAGTCCCTTCATTATTTTGAAGTTTTCAGTCATGTCGCCCCCCAGGCGTCTCCTTTCCATGGAGAAAAGCCCTAAGGATTCTAACCTCTCCTTATATGACTTACCCCTCATTCCCGCGATTATTCTAGTAGCTAACCGTTGCACCCTCTCGAGGCAATTTATATCCTTCTTCAAGTAGGGAGACCAAGCCTGCACGCAGTATTCCAACTGCGGCCTAACTATGGCCATATATAGAGGTAGGAAAACCTCAGCCTTCCTTGACGAAAAGGCCGCCTTTAGCTGGAAAAATTGCCCCCTCGCTTTTTGTGCGGCGGCCAGGCATTGATCACTAGGCTTAAAGTCATCGCGGACCAAAATTCTTAGATCCAGCATTCGGTTTACTCGAGCAAAGACCGTCGGTTCCGTGGTCGTAATGGTAGGTGCATAATTTGTGAGCATACTGCCGGAAAAAAACTGGAAGCTCGATTGACCGTGGCCATTATCAGTCCTGTGCAACCTGACCGGACCTGAAGATGAACCTTTTGATCCCATAGTCGGAGCACCAGGAGATCTTTGGAACTCACCAGTGTAGGAAACGTGACGACCTGGTAAGCTGCCGTCACCATCCTGGGCACAGAAATGACTTGAACTGAGCCTTGAACCCGTGAAATACTTCAAGACTTCAATGTTTTGTTTAATCGCTTGAATCCACATATCGTTGTAGCGTTAACAGCTGGGGAGGGTGAATCGTAATAGGATGTAGCATGATATTTCTATGGAGAGTTTGCCTTACGAGGTGAGATTCAACTTTGAAGGAGTCTACTATTATGTTTTAGGTATTGGAAAATGTTTTCTCGTTCCTTCCGCTTGTCGATCAGAAGTCAATGAAGCTAACTTGTCGTCGCTTTTATTATGCTCTTACTCGACCACTCTTTCTCTCTTCTCATCGCTATGTAATACGCGGAAGTATCGATTTTTGCAGATTCTTGTTCGCAGACGAGACCATAGAAAACAGAAATTGTGCACATCCGGATTCTTCCGATACGTTCAATGCTGTTACACCATGGTGTCGAGAGACACCGAAACGCACCCCCACCCACGTTCCATCGTCGGTGTGTAATCCAAAAAACTTGTTCAAAAGTCTTTCTGTTTGGATGAGATTTGTAACGGACCTGTCATTAGAAAGCCGCCTTATTGACTCTCCTAGTCTTACGAGAGTTCTAAGCTTATGCACTAGATTGCAACATCTTGATATTTCTGGCTGTAACTCACTGTTTGATATCCATTATCAACCAAAAGAACACACATGCTGCTTTCTCATGAATGAAAGTGACCGCACTGTGTTGCTGGAATCTGTCGGACAGAGTCTGCAAAGAATTTCCTTGGCGAGCATTACATCCCTTTGCAATGAAGATGTGGGACACATTCTCGAAACGTTCCCTTATGTGCGAGACATAGATTTCAGTGGTTGCTTCATTGAATCCACTACGAATCGTAATGAGACTGGACTCATAAATTTGCCTGCGAGACCACAGCTTTCTTTCCGAAGTTTGTTATCAAGCTTACGTGCGCTTTCTACCGTTTGTTTCGGAGGTGCTCCCCTATACGTTACTCTCCGCCTGAACTCTACAGGAATAACCGATCGAGATCTGGAATTTCTTTGCTGCTGTGATTTCATACATTTACGCGGGCTGTTAATTGAAAACTGCCGTAATCTGACGGATCGTGGACTGTTGGCGGTTTTATCTTCTGTTCAACTAGTAGGACAATTAAAAGAAATCTCATTAGGTTTGCCAAGTCCAGACATCAACTTCTCAACATTTTTACCTGTTTTTAAGGCCATAGGACCAAACTTGAAGCGCCTTTGTCTGTCAAAACTGCCTATTTCTTCAAAATCCCAACTTTCTTCTTTATTATCGAGCTGTTCTAACGTCGAGCATCTCGATATATCTTCTTGTTGTACGGGGTTCATTGGTTGGTCAGAATACTTGTGGATGAATTTACACTGCATTTCTAGTTTAGACCTTTCTGGTCACTTTACTCTAACTGATGAAGATGTGTCTGTGATGTCGCTCAGTTTGAAATGTCGGCTAAAGTACTTGAATGTTAGTTCGTGCATGAAATTGACGGATTTATCCCTGGAGGTGATATGTCGGAATTTTTCGTCCACCCTTGAAGTGTTGAACGCGAATTGGTGTAAAGGTTTCTCTGACGCAGGTTTTCAAGGCACTCAGGGAACTAGCGTTTTTTCAACTGGAGTTTATACCTGTACAAGACTGAAGGAATTGAATTTCTCAGATTGTCATCAGATAACAGGCCGTTCCTTTGCTCCTAACTTTGGATTCTACATTCCACCATTTCAAAACCTTGCACGTCTTCATCTCGGCCGTACAGGTCTTTTTAAAGGAGATGATCTTATCAATGCAGCTAGCTTCGCGCCGTTCCTTCAGTATTTAGATGTTTCTCGCTCTTCTGTGGACGACGATTCCTTGAACACTGTGTTGCAAAAATTACATCGCACACTCAGGCAGCTTTTTGTATCAGGTTGCGATAGAATAACCGACTTGACGCTTAACAACATAATTTCTAGTATACCCTATCTTCGTGTATTGGACGTCTCTTTCTGCCCACATATTTCTCATGAAGGTCTTCGAAACTTTCGAGGATGTATGTCCTACTTAATAGAATTGAAAGCATTGTACATTGGTGCGGCTGTCAATCACACTTGACACCGTAACTGTACTTCCTGTGAAACCGCTTTGCCATCTCCGTACGGAATTATTACGCGCCAGACTTTTCGCTCTTTGTAAAGCGCCATCTTTATTGTTATGGTTTCTTTCAGTTATTTCAATGCGCCTGCATTATTGCTGTGATGTTTTCCTTTGCATTTATGATTTTTGAAAGTTTTATGCACTACAGTTATCACATTTGGGTACAAAAATAAACCAGTATTTCTAATAATATGCATTCTTAATTATTGCAACTTTTCCGATTTCGTCGTAACTTATGTCTAATCTGTATATCATGACATAGGACAGATAGCACATACATGTTGAACCTTCTATTTCAAGTAAGTGTTCAACCCCATGGATTAAGTTGGCTGGGGCATGTCACCTGATGGGTTACTACTACGCGCAAAGTTTGTCGAAGCAGGTCATAGGTGAGACAAAGGTAAGGGTGATCAAACCAAGACCTAGTATGGGGATATAAAAACACTGGCCAGGAAACTTGCTCACATTAGATCGCGTCAAACTTCCCGGACGCGTACCTCGGGATCAGTTCAGTTCAGTTCAGTTTGTACAATCAATAACCATGCACTTGTGTACGCCGGTTATGATTACTGTCTTTTGGCTGCCCACTTGAATCAACAGAATAAAAAAAAACAGGATTAGAAATAGTGAACGATACCTCTGAGTGCCGTAGACAGTTACACTCGTACATCTACTCAGTGTCCTTAAGATTTTATTCTACATTGATTCCCCGTTTTCGCTGCACTGCTCTCAACATTCGAAGTTTCCCTCTTCATCCAGACGGGCAACCGAAAGGTTGCAACCAAAACCGCCGCAGTAGAATACATGGTTAATGGCTGTTTAAAATAAACTGTACTCTATACAACATTGATACCTATTTTTGCTGTAACGCCCTGACGCTTGATTATTTCGGCGCTTATGATGTTCAGATAATTGACACGAAATGTTTATTACAATCGTTGGAACACATGCCTAATGACTATTCCCGCAGTCCTGTTGGCCATGTATTCCTCATTTCGATTCAAAGTATCCGGACTGTCACAGTTGACTACTCGTTTGATATCATCGTCCCATCACTTCATGGGAAGCAGGGTTCTCAGCTCCCGTAGGTGAACCAGCGACCAGATACCGATATACCTTCGTCCTCTCACTTTGGCGGAAAAACCGTCACTGGAAGGCAGTGAATGAGGCTTCCTCACCAGAGACTACTTGAGACTCTTGGTTTTCTGAGGCTGACGTTGATTAAGACGTCTGTTGCATATGTCCAGTGGTTGCCTTGTTTACAGTTTGTGCTCCAGGTTGGCTGAAATCGCTTTGACGTCCAAAAGTGATTGAACAATTACTGAAACCATACTGACGATGTCTGTCTGTTCGAATGCGCCAAGCACACTTGACAGACCCGCACGTGCTGTTAATCCATTCGGTACGTGCTTTGCACCTTAAAATTGCAATGATGCCGCAGGACTGGGTATTGACTAGTCTCACTTAGAAACTAGGTGGCCCGGAATTAGTCATAGTTGATTGCTTCTCCTACTTGGTTAGTTGCATGGTCAATGGCGGTGGAGCGGCAACAGAGAGCCACGCATTTCTAAGACCCGAATAGTGTACACAAGACTAATACACCTTTGGCGTAGACGTGACTTTTCGCTGAAGTTGAAAGGTCGTGCATAATGTGTCATCTATTATTTTCCTTTTTTTTCGTTTTCAAGTTTATTTCCTTGCATTGAATGTACGATGATACACTTCGGGAAGGGAAAAGCGTACAGTCAAGGGCTGCCATACAACACATAATGGGGAAGTCAGGCGGCAGTGGTGGGATTCGAACACGTCCTCTGGGGTGATAATTTGGTGACCTTTACTACCGGGTTACTACCGACCTTGTGATCTTGAATTTACGAGTGAAAGATGTCCATCGACCAGAATTTTTCGACTATCGATGGTTACGTAGTTTGGCGCATGTGGGACGGGCTAAACGGGCTAGTAATCCGGAGTTTGTTATAATATATTATATTCAACACGTAACCAAGCACAGTGACTAAACCATTGCTCCAC